TAGAATGGAATGCACATTACTATTCCAATGTTTGACATGTGTTTAAAATTAAGTACTAGAATGGAATGTTCATTCCATTTTTATGTTTGGATAAAACAATTTTTTTATTGAAATTGAATCAACTTTGACTAAAATATCCATAGTGACTAAAAATAATTAATAACAAATTTTTTTATGATTGCGATTGCCTTTAAAAGTTGTGTACAAAAATTTATAATTAGAAAAAATGAGAATCCATTGAAAAAAATTAAACCTAAAAAATTAGAAAACAAATTCCTCCAAAAATAAGTTCACAAAAAGAAATCAAAATAAAAAACTATTCAAAATTGGTCATTCATTTCAATGAACAACTATAATTCTTTATGAATTCAATAGAGCACATATGCCAACCCAAAAAGAAAACTATCAAGACAACTAAAAATCTCATACAGACACATAGGTTGAACAAAAAAAATAAATCGATGAAAACCAAGTCCAAAAAATAATCAACAGTATATAGAAAACAAAAACAAGTTGAATAAAAAACAGAAATTCTTAAATTCCATTTATTTCATCTCAATAGCATTGGAGGTAGAATTCCAAGAAACAAAATAATTCTCAAGTATAGGTACAAAAAATTACACTCTTTGTCTATTTGCTCTCCACTCCTTAAACATTTTGTTTGTCAAATTCAATCTAAATGTTGACTACTCATTGGATGTTTCAACCGTGGTAATACGATCATCATGTGCATCATTTTTCAGCACAAGACCTACTGCATCTACCTCTACCACGATTGGGTCTATCGGTATCTGATCCCTGATATAGTCGTGAACACAAACAACAAGCTATTATTATACGTTTATGTATTTTGATGGGGTAGAAAAACGGGCTTCTTAAAATAGTCCAACGCTTCTTCAATAGCCCAAAACATCTTTCAATTACATTTTTAGCAGAATAATGTTTCATGTAAAAAAACTCTTTGAGTGTCCTAGGTTGGTGACTATCTCTCCATTCTTTTAAGTGATACATTTGACCTCTTAATGATTTTTTTTTCATATAGTAAAGGATGACAGTAGACATCATATGGAAAAAAAAATTGACTAAATGTATGATTTTGGTCCACAACACAAATAATGCAATCAATTTCTTCTTCTTTATCATTTTCCTTCTTGCTAGACTTAAACAAGTCATAACTGTCACAAAAAATACAAAGAAAAAATCAGCATTTGGGATATCACAAACAAAGCCAAAAATTTAGATTTCCAAATAACAGATGCAAAATTTTCACAGTTGTACGTGAAAACAAAATTTTCTAGTAGGGGGAATTCAATTAAGTGTAAAACTAGTCACCCACTGATTTGAATTTCATAGGTATTTTTTGGGGAGTGATAACACTGATTTGAAGTAAAAGTAAACCTTGTTATGCAAAGGTACAAGAAAGTTAGATTAGAGATATGAATGCAACAACTTGTTTTTTCATGATAAATCTTCTCACTAATACTTAGAAGCCCACACAAGCTAGATACCATATGATTTTGCCTCAAAGAAAATAACTGAAGATAAATAAAACAGATAGAAGGAAAGCTATCGCAAACTCCCAAAAAAGAGCAAACTTTTCTTTCTTTTTCTTTGTTCAGAGAGGCTGGGGTGTTGGGTAGCTCAAATTATATGTGAAAAAGTCCCAAAGAGGGTGAACAGGACTATGGAAATTTTATTGCAATTCCCTCTTAAGCGCAAGTCCTTTTGGTCATATTGTTTTAGACTTTGAGTAATTTCCAGAGCAGGGGTATTTTGGTTTTTCTAGACTTTCCAAATCATTATCTATTAAATGCCTTCTCTCAAAGTGTGAAAGATATTCAAAATTACAAAGGATTTTTCTGTTTAAACTTTAGGCTGAACATACAGGTTCTGCGGGAACCAATTCTGTAGGATTTTGTCTCAGAATGTTGGCAGTCGACTGTAGACCCAATAGATTCGACATCGACTGGGAAGGTCCTGGTCAACTATAGTACAGCCTACCAAAGTAGGCACCCCTCTCTGCTTAGGCTAATATATTCAATCCAAACTAGCACACTGAACCTAACTATATGTCCCTAAGAAATGGAGATTGAGGTCTCAACTCAAAAGTTAGAGTAGAAAAGTTTGTTGAGTCCTAGTACGTTTGTGCAAGAATTATATACAGCTATAAGGCCTGCAATATTCAACGATACGGGTAGTTAGATCGAGTTTAGAAACAACATGAATTACATTAACAATACGTGATGTAATGTCTTAGATGGTTTGAATACACCTGGTGTAAATCAATTGATGAATTAGTGCAAAAACTGTGTCAGATGACACATGGTTGAAGGAAAGAAAGGCCCAGGCGATGGCCAAAATGACGACGGTTGAATTGTGAAAAGATAGAACTGTTTGGCCTAGGAACTTGATTGGCAATTTACAGACTTGTATTATAGCCCAAAGATTGACACACATGAACGCAAGCCTCAAGCTTGAAGACTTCAACTCTGGAATAATTTTATAGCCTTAAGGGGTCTATTATTATAAAAAAAACCTATCAATTATAGAAATCTAGTAAACCATGCTTCTGTCAGACATTTTCTCAAATACTTTCAAAGCAAGACCCAAATCACCACAATCCAATTACAAACAGGTGTTGCTGCAACAATATATGAAAACACTTATATATGTTTATAGATATATTCAACAATCTATGTGAAAAAATGAACAATATAGAGAAAAATTAAACAAAGTGATGGGGATTGCTCCCTTTACGCCACGTGTAACAAAATTTAATGATCTCACGTGAGGGTGACAAGACCAATCACGTGAGAAAGGTACCACAAATCAGTCATCAGCTAGAAGCCGAGAGCTGTTTAATGAGCTCGGGAAGAAAGAGAAGAGGTCGGTCATCGTCATGACTGAGTTGTTAAAATGGTGAATGTGATGCTAAAAAGATGCCTGAAACTCAAGCATTCTGGTTGAACGAATAGGCATGATTATAGGCTCGACTGAAGGAATTACTGGAGAGATCTCAGCAACTTCTTGAACAGAATCGCTTGATTAAAAGAAGGTATACCACCTTGAATAAAAAATCATGAAAATCCTAACTAAGCAAATTTCTATAAAAGATATAAGGAGCTAAGGTAAAAGGTATGCTGAACTCTCATTGTCTTCTTACAATTCGCTCAATTTCATTACTGATTTAAGTATCGAAGTGTCTTCGATCGAAGCACTTCGATCTTGGACAGTTTGTTCATTTTACAGGAAGAAAAGACTAGGAGATTAAGTTCGGAGCAGACTTATTTCAAAGATATTAATCCTTTGTTCTTTTAGGAGGTAATCTTATTTTTTGCCTCTTACACAAAGTATGTACTTGTAAATCAAATTCATATCTTCAAAACCCTAGAGAAAAATGAATAAATTTGTATTGATATGGGAGATTAGTTTTGTAGGTGGCGTCGAAACCTTGAAAATAAATATTAGTAGTGAAAAGAGAATGAAAAATTACCTGAAATTTGTTGCAAATGTCGAATTTGATCAGGTCTTGGTCTTGGTTGTGGATCTGGCGCATTGCTTCACCGAAAAGAGTGACAGGGAGGGAACAAGGGGTACGCCATAGGTCTCTGTGAGGAGAGATGCAGTGGTGAGGAGAGGAGAAGAGAATAGGGATTGGAAGAGACATAGGTGCAAAGCAGAGTGGTCGGGGCAGAAAAGAACAAGGGAGAGTCGGGCTTTTGGTCTTGGGCTTATTACCACTTCTTTGGGAATGACCAATACCATGTATTGGTGGGGAATGACTAATCACTTGGTCTGTGGGATTTATCGTTTCATAGGAATGGGAATCAAATTTCATTACCATCAACCAAACTACGAAATGTGAATTACTTGGTAATGCTCATTCCATTCCCAATGTCCATTCCTACGTACCAAACACATCGTTAAGAAATATGTTAGATATTTGGTTTGAACTGGTTTGTATCTTGAAAGATTTCAAAATTTTTATTTTATACTCAAAGTAATTAATTTTTTCATATTGTACCCCTAAAATGGTTCAATGTGTTCCTCACATTAACTTTCGATGTTAGTTTGGTCAAATCTCATTACATTTAGTGTGAGGGCCTCATAACACTTTTGACAAAAATTATAACTGAAGTTTGTATGAAAATCACATTATAATTATTTTATAATATTAAGAGTGTAATATAAAAAAATTAATGATTAAAGATATAAATTAAAAATTTTAAAATCTTTCGAAATAATTCACCAAAAAAATCCAAATCAAAATAGGATTTGGTTTTTGTCTTTTTCTTTTCGTGGACAAAAATACAGACCCAATCTCAATAATTAGTTTTCACTAAAACCACCGAAAGCTAAAAGTGGCTTTGACAATTAGGAACAATACGTCATCTTCTCTACTAAAACACACACTTCCCATATATCTTATCATTACATTAATTAATGTCTCTAAGTTTATATTATATAGAAAATATATATAAATGAGTTATATTTTATATTTTTTTAATTAATTTTATTTGTATTTGATTCATTTATTAATTAAATTCGGTCGGATCAGATTGACTTGTTTATGAAACCAAATGATTTAAAAAAGATCCAAATCTTTTTAATTTTGTGTCGTATTTATATTAATGAATCACATTATATTTTAACGAGTAATATTATATAAAACTAATTAAAAATTTTAATAATGTGATTTTTATGTAATAATTAAATCAATTATGAATTTCAGTAATAAATATTAAATAGTACTCACTGTGAATGCAATATTTACATAAAATTACTCAATTAGGTCCCTTGATGGCTAGATTAGACGCTCATCGTGCAGCATTTTCCTTTTTTGACACTCAATAGAGCTGATCGTGTCCATCACGCGCTCTCACTTTACAGAATCCTCTTCTGATTGGTCCACGTATTGATAATCGAGCGTAATTTAGCTGCTTGATTCTTAGGTAATCTTGTAATATCGTCTTTTGCCAGGTATTCTCTTCTCTACTTTGTCGCCTACGGTAATTAATCATTCCTTTTGTTTTAAATTTTTGGACGCACATACACTAAACAGTATCAAGCATAGGGGAGGAAAGAGATTCGCATTTGTCAATCGAAGGAAGAGAGAGGTTGTACAAAAAAAAAAAAAAAGGAAGAGAGAGAGGGAGATAGAATCCGAGAGATCTTCCTCTGTTTAGATAGACTCACAGATATCTCTCCCGTTTTCGAGTCCTGTCTTCACCGAGATTCATCTATCTCTTTCTCGTTTTCGAGAACTCTCTTCAACTATGGGTCTCTGGGAAGCTTTCCTCAATTGGCTTCGAAGGTAACTGTGTGTGTGTGTGTGCTTCTTTGTGTCGGAAATTATATGTTTTTTGATATCCTTATGTATATATTTAGATTTGAATGTGTGAATGTAATTTAAATGTTTCGATCTCTGTTTCTATTCACATGAACACTAATTTTCGATTCTAGTGTTTGATTTTAGTTTTTTGTTTTTGTTTTGTTTTTCTGAATGCCTTTGACGCATATGTGTGTGTGTGTGTTGACATCAACGGTGATGATATTCCTGTTTTGGAATAAATCTTTCTGGTTTCACATTAAGAAAATTATGGTCTTTCGTTTTTCGTTCCATTCAGGATATGTTTTGTGATATCGTTGTAGTATTTGGTTTTGTGTGAATTTTATGTTTTGTTTGTTGAATTATGCTCTTGGTTCAGAAATTTCTTTTAGGTATTCTGACTTAAATATTTTGAGTTTGAATTTGAGTTGGGACGATGTGCCATTATTTCAGCTAGTAATGATCCTTGTTGTTGTTATCTGTATGTGGATAATTTTCCACATGTTGACACTCAGTTTGTTGATGTTTCTTATGTCAATGAGTTGAAAATTGGGCATATAGATAAATTGATGAAGCAGAACAGCAGAGGTAAATTGATATTACGAAGCAAGGAAGCTATTCTGTGGACAGTGATATTAACAGGCTAAGAAAGCTGAAACTGGAAGTAGAATGTGACTAAATTGGAAGAGACGGGGTACTGATTCTTCATGCTTTCCTGACTGTGATACATGGATGGCCTCTTTGAATATATTCATCAACTATCCTAGAATGCCACAAATGATGAATGCTGTTGAATTATGACTTGGGAACTTCCAGTGTTTTCAAACATCTTTAATCTATCAATGATAGAGATCAATTGGTCTTATCTCCATAAGAAACGAAATTTAGGAATTTCATGCCTGGATACTTAAGATGTTGTTTTACTGCATGCAGCACGATTTTGTTGTTTTACTGCATGCAGCACGATTTTGTTGTTTTTCTCATTGAACACTGTCAATGGAATAGGCATAATTATAAGGGTTTGTTTTTGAAAAAAATAGATAGTGGCTTTCTTCTACGTTTCGAGGTTATCTCTAGTGTTAAATAAAATTCAACATACCAATTTTAATTGAGGACCTGCAAAAGTATAGCACATCTGTATGAGAAGGAAGATTGTACTACCATTCCCTCACCTGATATTAATCAATTCATGTGATCCTGTTCTTAGTTTTGATAAAGATTGAACTTGTATCTTTTGGTTTTTTTGATATATTTTCCCAGACTTATTAACAAAACACTTGTATGTCTCTTTAGAGATTACTGTTTCCAAAACCAGTCCAGTGGTCTGCAGGTGCAAGCCTATGCTTATTTTAATTTTACTAGCCTTATTTTGTGATGGCAACGCCAACTGTTGGCCCTGTATTTCAGGGATCATACCAACCTGGTGTTTAGTTTAAGGTTACACTACCCAAAGGAAAAGAAAGACAAACAAGGATCTGTTCAAATAATTGGGTTCCAGTTCAACCGGTTCGACAGCAGTCTAAATTGGCTGATCAGTTCAGTTTTTAGAAAGGCCAATGTATCAAGATTTGCATTTAATAATCCAGATATTGATGCTGGCTTCGTGGCTTTGGTTTCCTTTGCTTATGTGATTCTCTCTTCCCTCATACATCCTGGTGCATCTTCGTACATACGTTCAAAGGCTGGATTCAAAAGGTTAACAGACTTGTGGGCTTGTCGGATACTTGTTTACTGGTTAGACTCTGGGGGGTATAATGTAAACATTTTATTCCTGATTGTCCTGGTTTTGTTATGAGTTTGTCTTGTCGATATCGAAACAATCCCTAGGTGGACAAAGGTCCCTGGTATATTTAAGTGTTACTTTAGATTTCCAACGGATTGTACGTCACTTGTTCTGATTAGAGAACTTGACTAAAAAGGTTTAACTCTTATAAATTTAACCAAAATCATTGGCACGAATCCTTCCAAATTCTATGTTTTCAATGCCTCGGAGTGGTACATTACATATAAGTATATGGTCATGTAATGAACATAACGTAGTACTAATACCATTTGAGTATGTGCCTTGCATAGGCATCTAGACGTACATAATGTGTGCACCGAATGATTTTTTTGGTTTAGACAACTACAAAGTGTGGCTATCTCTATAATTCATCAGTATTGCAGACACATACTCATAGACTCGTAGCTGGATGACATTTATTATCAGCAATTTTTAAAAGAGTAGAAGACAAAAGGATTAATCTTCATTTAACTCCCACTATAGTTTGTTTATTCTTATGCTCATTCTTTTTAAGGATATATAACTGTAGTTCCTGGTCCAACTACTGTGGTTTAATGATTATGTCTCAGATACTAACCTTGTATTCCACACTACCCATTTAGACATCTTTAGAGGTAAAAATTCAGACAACTTTTTCTTCTTCATCCTTTGAAGTAAAAGGTATATGAAAGATTTCCTGAAGTTTGATTGTGTTACCTCTATGTTAGTGTTTTCTTTTGTTCTTTCTGATAAGTTACCACAATTAGCTGTTGTTCTGTGACATGTCTCACATTAGCAATAGGTTTTTTTATATTAATATGTGCTACTGACTCCTACTTCAATAGAATGGCTTTACAAGTTGCATGGGCTGATGTTGTTGTCTGTTTGTTTACAGCCTTTTCTTTAAGCAGGAAATGGAGCTTTCTTTGATCGGGCTTCAGAATGCTGGAAAAACTTCTCTTGTAAATGTTGTTGCGGTAAGTAATTAGATGTGATAGTCTCTATTGATTTTTTTTTTTTTTGTTTTCTTATTAATATTTTTGACTTCTATCTGTTTGGCTCTAATTTGATGAATTAACTGGCTTCGTTGGTCTTTATCCCAAGACTGGTGGATATAGCGAAGACATGATCCCTACAGTGAGTTCTCTATTTCATTCTAGCTTCTATTTATGCTGCTAGTTAATCTTTCTCCACATCTTGTAATTCTTTCCACCACATACTATATTGTTCTAGGGGTAATAATCGTTAACGAGTGGCATTGTTTTTATCTTCAGGTAGGATTCAATATGAGGAAGGTCACTAAAGGAAATGTCACAATAAAGTTGTGGGATCTTGGAGGTCAACCCAGATTTCGTAGTATGTGGGAGAGATACTGTCGTGCAGTTTCTGCTATTGTGTATGTAACTGTTTCTTCACATGACTTGCCTGCTCAAATAAATAAATAACTGATATAGATATAGTTTGCGGGGTGTGTGGGTGTGTCTGTGGAGTTTATTGAAGTAGTTTTAAAAGGAGAATTAATAGAGTTGGATACTGGTTTGTATGTGGTTATATTTGATTGCTTAATTTACTTGGATACTATCATCAGCTGTTTGCAAAGACTTTTTTTATGTTTCTTAGTGAAAGTATGCAGTGACATATCATTAAGGGATCTACCAGTCTAGTTATTGTTCGCTAGAAAAGCTTTTAATGCCATAATGACCTATCTAGTTTTTTGAACTTGATTTTTTTGCAGTTATGTTGTTGATGCCGCTGATCATGATAACCTCAGCATCTCAAGGAGTGAACTGCATGATCTGTTGAGCAAACCATCACTGAGCGGTATTCCTCTGCTGGTATTAGGCAACAAGATTGACAAGCCTGGTGCTCTTAGTAAGGACGCATTGACTGATCAGATGTAAGTCAAGACAGTTTGAACTCCCATGACTGACTCAGCCCAGTTTTTGTTGCTTGTTGCTGTTTTTTTTCCCCGTTTTTCAATACTTTTCAATCTGGTATTGAGTATGGCAATATATAATGCAGGGGGCTGAAATCCATAACTGATAGAGAGGTATGCTGCTTTATGATCTCATGCAAGAACTCAACCAACATTGACTCGGTCATTGATTGGCTTGTCAAGCATTCCAAATCAAAGAGCTGAGCGGTAGTCTCTTTCTTGTAATTTGGATTGGTATTGGTAAAAATTCTGAGAGATGGATTTTTCCATTGGTGGTTGGTGAGGTTTGTGCGTGCTAACTTGGTTGCTGAATGTCTTACCGCGTTAATCTTCTGGTTTGCTATGCATTGTACATTAATTTATTCTACCTAATTGAGAGGTGTTATGAGTTTTTTTACCCTGCATTGCCAAGAATGGTTGTTTATTTGCGAGTGCTTTTTATTCTGATCCTGGGTACAGACTTGAAGAAATTAGTAGAATCGTCAGCCAAGAACAGTGATTGTGTTAGTGGCCCCTAAATTTCTAATGCTTGAATGGTACTTGGCACTTAGGTGAGCCTCATTGCATGTACCCTCCTTTTCCTATCTCATCAAACTCTAATTATTAGTTTCAGTTTTTGGGGTACTAGGAAACTCACCTTTTTCAATTGGGGAAACGCAAAATGTTCTGATATGGAGATGAAACTTCTGGCAAATTTCTATGAGGAATAATTCCGAAACGCTTTTAGATTTTGCTCAATTGGTTTGGTGGAGGCAGGAGAGGATGAAAAAGAGGGGATGTAAAATAGGATGTGTTTGGTTGGGTGAAAGTTTATCACTCCCATTCACAAAAAAAATTTCCTTCCGATTTTGGACTGACAAAGTGGAGGGAAAAACACGTTTTGAGCAGATGATTTTTTTTTGTGATAATTTAATGCACACATGCATTGAATGTGAACCTTTTAATTTATAAATGTTTGTATTTGAATTTTTTTGATACGGATTTATAGGTTTAGTTGTTCTTTGTTCGAGGATCTTGAGGGGGTGTCTTCAGATGTTTTTGATATTTTTGAATATATCTCATCCTAAAGTATTTATAACGAATGATTAATCTTCCTCTGGTTTTTGGTTTTGCGCTTCCTAAGAATTGGATATGGACTCCACAATACTGAAGAGGAGCTTGCATTTTGGATATATCTAATGTACGAAATAAAGCAAGTGACTCTTAGAATGTGATAATATTTATATAATAAAGTATAATACAATTTAAATTTTAAAAAATAAATAAAATAACTTTATTTTTTTGGTTAAGAACTCTTTAAATTTTATTATAAAGTTAATCTAACAATTAATATTAATACGTCAAATTTAATAGGAAAAATAAGTCTTTAAATACGTGTTTAGGGTGACTTTTTTAAAAGTGTTTTTAAAATTTATAATTTCTTATAAGTACTTAAAAAAAAATAGTGTTTGAAATTGTCTCATCACCACCACCACCTTCATCGCCACCCTACTACCACCTTAGCCATAATAGCCATCCACCATCGTTGTCGTCACCCTATCACTATCACCATCACCATCACACCACGACCATCATCCTATCACCACGACCATCATCACTACCACCACCATCGTCGCCGCCACACCCATCACCACTGTCACTAGTTTATCCCCACTCCACCACCACTATCGTTATCTCATTCTTATATTTATTATTACTACTATCATCATCCCACTACCACCGTCACCCACTATTAGCACCCACCACCAGTTGTTGTCACCAGTCATTTTTAGCCACCCCCACCCCTACTGCCACCATTATTTGTCACCACTCATCAGCCCAGAAAGCACCCGTTGTCACTCACCACTACCATTGTCATGGCCCACCACCACTGTCATCACCCCACCACCACCCACATTCACCACCACCATCACCGTCACCCTGTTGAACGGTAAAAAAATTATTATTAATAGTGAAGGTCGATGATACATGCGTGATTTGTTTTTCCTAAGCTATTTATACAAATCCGCATCATTGGAAGAGTCTTCGAGCTCATTTCTTACATCCTAGATTTGTTCTCATTGTCATGGTTAAAATTAATTATTGTTTGGTGGATACTCGTTATTAAAAAACAGTAAAATTATTTAAGCCACTAATTTAGAAAATAAAGCACGAAGACACGTGCCAAACACGTTCCTTGCCTATTCTCCCATTAGTGGTGGTTATGGATAGTTTCTTCAAGATAAACCTACTTATCAAAGAAGTGTGAGGTGAGTGGGAGACCCACTAAGCCAAAGCTTGCCATTAGAAAAGGAAGTGGAATGTGCTGGTAGCTTTAATCAAAGGTCAGCTGCTCTTTCATGCAAAAGGTAAAATTGTCAAGCAAATACCCTATAAATGCAATGAGGAGTTTAGACGGTGAGGGAGGAAGGAAAAAAAATGGAGGGCAAAGGAGAAAGAGAAATTTCGACAGACAGAGGAGAAGGAAGAAAGGCAAAGAAAATTTTTGAAGCTTTACAACAGGTAAAAAAAAAAATCTGTTTCCTCCTTGTCAATTTAATCTTTTCAATCTTTGATAGCAGCAACTCGGTTCAAAACCGCAGCAACCCGAAGCAATTGCGACAATACCAAATCTCTTCTAAGTTACATATTATAGGAGTTTTTAACTCCGTCGATGCATTGCGGTGCGATTACCACCAAGTATTTCATATGCTTTTAGAAATCATCAGGAGCTTCACCATCTTCTCAAACTAGCAAGAGTCTTCGATTCTTTAACTAAGTCGATGGTTAGAAGAAAGAAAAAGAAAGCAGAAAAGGAGAATGGCAGTAGAGTTCTCTTCAAATGAAAGACCAACAGAGCTTTTAAGTCCTCCAAATTTTGCTGCAATACCCAAGAAAAACAGCCACATATTGGAGTCTTTGACTCCTTGGAGACCATGGTGTCGCTCAATAAGAGACTTCGACTCTTTCAAAACCATTACGCCACCGTGAAAATACTTATTTTCTGTTCACTTCAGCACAGCTCATTGGGCCTCTTCCAATTACTCCGCTGCCGTGTATAAGTGTTGCAACATCAACAATAGTCTTGCACTCTTTTAATTCCGGTCCCTTTTGCCGAACGCGACCATTTTCTTTTAATGGAGTTTCCAACTCCCCTTTTCAAGAGTTTTAGAATCTTTCAATGGAGTTTCTAACTCCTTAAAAAAAAGGAAGGACCGGAATTTTAACTCCTAAACTGTGCGGAGTTTCTAACTCCTAAAAAAAATCATCGGTGGTGTGAACATGTACACACAAACCAAAAAAAATGCAACGGACATTACTCAAATCTTGCCATTGTTGCAAGTCATCTGCCCAAAATTCCTCAAATGGCAGAATTAATAATAGTTTGGGCTCTTTAATTTTGACGCACCGAAGACGAGTCAATGGTCTATTGACGAAACCCACCGCCAAGAGTTTTACACTGTGGAAAGCTTTGAATTAGTTCCTTCACTATTAAAGGAGTCTCGGACTCCTTAATTCATTTTTTGTTTCACCAACTCCTACTAATTTGTGCAACAACACAAAGCCTTGAGCGGCTCCGTCTCATTGCAAGTAGAAAAATAGAAAGTCTAGAAAATCGATATAAGTTTAGGTTGATCGCCTTGACAAAATTAAGAGTCTTGGAACACATTTAAAATATGTTGATGTCCTCTATCCTAAAAGGGAAAAAAAGAAGAAGAAAGAAAGTCGTTTTTGACTATGAGTATTTGGATAGAATGCCTCATCCCATATGTTGGACAAAAATACAAAAAATGGGTTGAAGAAAAAAAACCTTGATTGTGATTTAAAACAATTGCAATTTCAAGCGATGACCAGACGTAGATATAAGACTTTAGAATTTTTTTTATGGTCTATTTCAAGGCACAAATTAATACAAATGAGTTTTTAACTCTTCTGATAGCGTGCAATGATTCAAAATTTTGTGTTATTTCGAAAGCACATAAAAATCAAAATAATGGGTCTTTGACCCATTTCGGCAAATGCTACAATAATTTAGCCATTTAAATCCTTCACTATTTTTGGAGTTTCAAACTCCTACAAATTAAATAGTGCAAAAAATTAAATTAAAGAATTTCAAATTTTTTACTAGGTTTCGGAGTTTTAAACTCCATAGTGATTCTTTATCAAAAGAGTATTGGACTCTTATTTAATTCTTGAGTTTCAAATTCATATAAAATCACAAATTTTACATGGAATTTAATTCCATCTTAAGTTACAACTTATGTGAATTCTAAAAATCACATAAGTCAAAGTTGTTTTAAATACGACTCAAGTCCATCTCAAAGAATAATGGATCATTTACCCATTTAAAACCAAATCAAGTTAAATTCCAAATTAAATGAGTCATTCACTCATTTAATTTTTTTTTTTCACTCATTTAAAATCTCATTCAAATAAATTCCAAAATCCATGAACTACATCAGACTTGATTTCACTTGTTGGATACGTAGGCAGTCCAATATCTACACTGGGTGCAGTCACTCTCAATTAAATTTCTAAAATTTTGAACTACGTCCGACTTGATTACATTTTTGGATATGTAGACAGTCCAGCATCTACACTAAGCACAGTCGCATTCCTAAATAAATTCCAAAACTTTTTAAACTATGGCTGACTTAATTTTCTTTCGAATGCGTAGGTAGCCTAGTTAAACTAGGCGTAATCACAAATTCTAAATTTTTTCTTGTAAACTAAATAGGTCTTACACCCATATCAAATCAAATGGTCATTTACCCATTTCAAATATGATGGATATTTATCTATTCAAAATCAATGAGTCATTTACCTATTGATCTTACCAAAAAAAATAATAATAATTTAATCTCTCCCAATTACGAATCTGTTTGATCCCGATAACGGGTACGTAGAACAGCCTAAGCAATTAACCTAGGTTCAACCACCATTACAAATAAAATACACTTGTGGGGTAAATGGTAATGTGTGGTAATTTCTCATTGGAATCAAATGATGTTCTCTTGAAACACGGGATTACAATTAATGAATATATGCTATATGGAATGGATCCAACCTACATTAATAAAACTTGTATAATTCCTCGTTATATGAGTGAAGTCATGTTCGGCATAATATTCAAATTCTTGTCCAATACACCCATGACTACCATTACCACCATGATCACCCAAAATCCACCACCATCATCACCATTGCAACCTACGGCTACCACCATCACCACGGTCGTCGTTATCCACCACAACCATTACCGTCTCCCACCACTACCACTGTAGCCCACCACCATTATTGATTTTGGGTATAAATATAAATATGTTTATTGTTGACCATTTTTTATTACTCTGTGCCTTCAGATACATGTAATAATTAGTTTATATAATAAAGTACAATACAAATCTCAAAAATAAATAAAATATTTTTGTTTTTCGCGGTTGAGATCTCTTTAAATTTTATTTTAAATTTAATTCGACGGCTAATATTAACACCTCAA